CTAAATGTACGGATTCACCTCGTGACCATTCCGCTGACGCTGTAGCTGAGAAACAGCACACTAACACTGTCTTTGAAATGGTAATAAAGTGTCATTTGCAAAGAGACGTGATGAGTGCGTCAGTACCACCCACACTGAATGATTTTCTATAAAATCCTTTTTTTTTTAAATGTGAGTTTAGTATGAATAGAAAAGATTTCGCTTAGGAAATCCAAGTGCCGTTTTCCATGTGCATCAAAGGAGGACCGATCCTGTTACTTCTTGCGGGATCCTGAGATGTTGATTATAATTCAGAAGGCCTATTAAGATGTACCCTCTTTTAGACTTGAGGTGATTGTTCAAATTATCCTTTAACTCTCTCTGTGTATATATGATATTATTTAGTCCTTACTGTCTTTCTAACACTGGCATGGACATGTCTGTATCTCTCCTGATGTTACATCAATGGCTGTTGGCTGGCCTAGGTAGTTTTGGGGACCCTGGGGTGGGCACAGGTGTCAAATACTGGCGATGTGATCCTGAGGGCTTTGACCCGGAGCTTTGGGAAAGCATGTGGATAACGCTGTTGTGAGAGGCCTCGAGCCTGTCTCCATGCAGACGACCCGACGTACAACGACGGGTCAGGTGCACTGCCCAGCCTGAACCATCCTCACAGTCGGTGCTATCTGTGAGCCCATGGTGGCAGCCACCGTGTCGGTCCACCTCCTTGAGAGTCCGCCTTTTGACCGACCCTCTCCTTCCCCAGGCACAACGCCCTGTTTTAAGGACGTGTCTCTCTGGATAACACGCCCAAAGTACGTGAGACCCAGACCGACCACCGTTGCTCTGAAGGACCGTTAGGTTGTACTTCTTCCAGAGGGGTTCTTGTGGCCGCCCGTAGTATGTTCACCCTTCTTCGCCTGCGGCCTTTCTTGTTCACACACACAGGGCAGTTGGAAATACCGCCCCTTAGCCCTCAAAGTGACGTGTTTGCCTTTTAAGGACGTTTTGTTCCACAGAGATGCCTGATGCAATATGCCATTTGATTTCTTCCTTGTTACTTCCACGCACACAGATTGTAGGTCCAAGTTCAATGAAATCCTTGTGACCTCCCATCTTTGCGCTGTCACAAATGTTGTCTCTGAGGCTAGCAAGCATGTTTTTGTTTCTTGCTACACTGAGTTGCAATCCCTGCTGCAGTCTTTAATTCTATACTATCATTCCGAAAAACAAGACCACCGTCACATGAAAAATGCCCAGCAATTATACGACAAATCCAATTTTAGGAAAGGAGATTTAAAATATCTTTAAAGACCTGTAAGAATTGAGGCCTGTCTTGTAGTTAAACAAGCGGCCACCTAGCCAGGAAGCAACAAAGTCCACATGGAAGAAGCACACCAGCCTGTGCGATCACGAGGTGTCGAGGCAAAGAGGTATCAGAAGTTCACACACAAGCAACCAAATCGATGTGAAGTAGCGTGGATGCAGTGGAGACCCAAAGCCCACCTGCAAGATAATTGGGCAGTCCCTCTCAGAAGGGCCACGTGGAAGGGATGAAAAATCCAGGGTGTGGTATGGCGCTGATAAATCACATAACTATCCTTTAGTTCTTTAATACTTCCTCCCCTTCTTATTATGGTTCTTATTTGTTTTACCTCATTAATCATGTTAGACTTGTGTGTGTTCATTTGTATATTTAAGAGGGTTCAATCCATGAAAGCCAAGATAGGTGACCCTTCGGGAACAGTTAACAGGAGCAATGGCTCCTGAGGAATGGGCACAGAGGAGAACGGGGAGGAATGGGCACAGAGGTGGACGTGGAGGAATGGGCACAGAGGTGGACGGGGACCCAATAGCATTGATGCCTGTACAGCCCCACTCGACGGGATTAAACAACAGGATTGTTTGTGAATGGATCTATTGTATTGGGTGAGATACAGCAAAAAAAATATTAAGTATACGGAAAAATAATAATAAGGGTTCAGGGGGGATATAGTGGGGAGGGGAGGGAGCAAGGGGAGCTGATATCAAGGAGTTCAAGAAGAAAGAAAATGTTTTGAAACTGACTATGGTAGCCATTGTACAATATTGCTTGATGTGATTGAACTATGGAATGTCATAAGATCTGTGAGAGCTCCCAATAAAATGATTACAAAAATAAAAAGAATTGAGTTGGAAGACCTACAGAAAGGTGGTCTAACATCTGGCACTCCTGGCAAATTCTGGGGTGCAAGAGGGAGCCAAGTGATGCACTGGGGGGGAGGGGAGCAGTCTTTGAGTTCTAAGGGGACCATGCACTTTATAACAAGTGTGTCCCATGGGGGATTTTGAACTGGGAGCCTGTGGAGTGACCTAGGGAAGAGAGAAGATAGGAGATGTTTGCTGAAGAAACATTTCCCATTGCAATATTGCTCACTCTTTTGAGGAAGGGTAGCTGGATTCCAGGTGTGTCAGGGTAAACCAGCCCCTGACAACATCACCGGTCCAGTAAGCACAACTGTATGGTGATAATATATAAAGATGATAGTAAAGTCACAGAGAATAAGAGAGATAGGAGAGAGAATAAAATAAAGGAGTCAGACCAACGTCATGGTTGCATGCTCACCTCAGTTCCTCTTAGCGGTCCACGTGGAGATGGGAGAGGAGAGGAGGAAAGGAAGGAGAGAATATATTTCTGACCAAGGCTTACATATATTTAGGGGCATGCAAGCCCCCTGTTTACAGGTAATGACGCAAGCCCCCTGTTTACAGGTAATGACATCACAGGAAGGGGTAGTACCATAGGCAATACAGCAATGGGAGGGGGATAATCTAGGGGTGTACGTGCAATAGAAGAGGAGGGATTAGGGATACACATGCGGCAAAATGGGCAGATCCTAGATTCATGATGGCAGCCTAACCTTGATTGCCCTTGAGCTGCTGACTTGACTTACTCTGAGCTCTCCAGGGAGACGATCAGTATCCTTAGCAATAGGGTGAGCCCCGCCTACTGTGGACCAGATAGAAGTCTGGTTGCTCTGAATGGTTGATGCCTTCAGAGAGATAATGTCTTGGCAGCTTGCTTCCAGGTGTGCTACAATCATCCACCATGTATTGCAAGCATTGTCCTAAGTCTGACATATATTTGGGGGAGACAAGCTGGGGAAAAGCCTCTTTGTATCCCACACAGGTGCCTCCGTGGTTAAATGCTCAGTTGCTAACTCAGCTCGGTGTTTCCGACTCAGCCAGCAACTCCACAGGAGGCTGACTTGGTCATTTGTTCCTGGGAAGAAAACCCTGTGGGGCCTGCAGTGTCACAGGGCCAGGGACAGCTAGCACGACAACCACCCGGGTGGAGGTCATCCTGGACATTCTCTGGAAGGACCCAACCTTTCAAACTGCCTCTGTGCATTAGCCGGCCTCAAGTGTAGCTCGGGATGCCCAGCTGGGAGAGAGCACAGGAGGTGTATAGACACGCCCGGCCCTCGAATGTACGGAATGGGCATCGTGATGGAGAGGTGGGTTGTATGGCTGCTCCTGGCAACAGTCTGGCTGTTGGTCAGTGGTTCTTGGGCCAGCCGTTTTGCTCGCTTTCACCCTCATGGGATTTGGCTGAGAGTTTACCGGTGTCTCAGTATTGCACCGTCACGTGTGTGTCTCTGCTGGTTCTCCGTGACGCCGTAGTTAGCACCCACGGCCTTCATTCCCGCCCTCCCCTTGTCTTGGTGTGAGCCTGGGCACCCACACAAGTTGTTGTGACAGACGTATCGAATCTAAATTTAGATTTAGCTCCTTGGACCGTATT